GGAAGACTTTCTACCTTACCCTGATGTGTCTGGATGACAGGAGAGCAACTGGGATGAGGAAAGGACACGGAAGCTGGTCACTTGAAATCTCACTTCCTCCTGAGCTTTGTCATTCATTCCTCCCCAGCTAAGCACTGACCCCGTGTTCCAAGTGACCTGAGCCCTCACTGCAGTTCCATCAGATTTTACTCCACCGAGATCAAAGCTGGGTTACTTTTTTTTTTTTTTCACTTTTTCTTTACATTTTATGAAACACAGTCTTACTATATAATAGTAAGACTATAGCCTAGGCTATAGTCTAGGCTTTCCACAAACTTTCTGTCTCCTGCTCCCAAGTGCTGGGATTACAGGCACGTATCACCTGGCCCAGCTCCAATCTCTTTAGTAATCAAAATCCATTGTGCATGCCTCCTGTTCTTAACACCCACTCTCAGAATATCCAACAAAACTACTCAGCGTCACATAAGCATCTACGTACGTTGTATGAGCTTGACCTTCGTTGCTGGTAACAAGGACAATCCTTTCTTAGACAGTAAGACTAAGTCTTATATTAAATCCATTAGCAGAAATGACAGGTCAATTACAAACAATGTCACATGCATATGCGTGCATATATTCATCCACCAAAAGAGAATAGGATATTTTCATAACTTTCACATAAAAACAGTATTGTGTTTCTCTTGTGACTATTTCATTCCTATGGAATGATATAGAGTGGGATTCACTTTAAAAAAAAAAAAAGCAAGTGGTTGAATTTTAAGTAAGCAATGTATACAGCTTATTTAACCCACTGGAATCTTAGCAATGTACATGAAAACAACAATTTGCTTCTGTGTTCTGTCATGCCCATTTATTGCTGCTTTCTAGTTTTCTTTCGTTTCCTAGTAAGTGCTTTACATATGAAAATAAATTAACTCAGAAGTTGATAGGAACAAATAGAAATCCTTTGACTTGAAAAAGTAGACACACATAAATTTGTATTATAAAACATAAATTATACCCTGGAATACTAATGCAAAAGAGTTAAGACACAAGAAAGAATCTGCTTGCTTATTAAGATGCAGGCATTACCTCAGACATACAAATAGCCCCAAACTTGCCTAGCCACTGCCTCTGCAGATCACCCACCAGCATTAGCATTACATCATATGACATTACAGAACAATAGCAAACTCTGTGTAATAGTTGAATATATTGTTTTGAAAGAATCAACTGTCATTAACTTGAATAAAAGCTTTCTGAAATCAAACCTAGGGGATACAGCCTTCACTGTGTGGCCCATTTTTAATACTTTGAGAAATCACCTCACCCTGAAAGAAAGCAAAGGGGGAAAAAAGACATGGGGGTGTAAGGGCGACAGTGCTGAGTGACCTCTGCAACAACCCAGCATGCAGGGATCAAGGCTTTCAATTACCAGGCAGACTGTCAGAGCAGGAGGCTCTGCAACAAATGTGGCACCTAAAATCCAAACAGCCTTCCACACACCTCACTATTCCGATTATGGACTGGTGGGTGATTTACACAACAGGCTGGGCTGGAACTGAAAATGAGCCCTGCTATACAGACAAAAGTTCTGATGTCATCTGAAGACAGGCTATCACTCAGCCAAGTGACTTTAGGCAACAGATTCAAGCTGAGCCTCAATGTTTTAATCTATAAGGTAGAAAAACAAGTAGCTATCATGGGGAAGTACTAAGGAGAAGTTTAGCTATTATTATTATTACTGATTATATTGGTTTTATTCAATTTTCCCCTCTGCCTATCTTTTCCAATCACCATCCAGGAGGTTACTTGTTCACAAATGAAAGTCTACAAATAATCTCTGGCTTGTTTGTGCCTGTAGTCTGGCCATAGCCACACGCTGTCATTTCTAGAGCCTCACCATCTTCTTCTTTTAATTTTATTACTTTTATTTTATGTGTATGAGTGAATTGCCTGCACGTAAGTAAAGTGCACCCATGTCATGCAATGTCCGCAGAGGACAGAAGAGGCTGTCAGATCCCCTGGAACTGGAGTTACAGTTGTTAGCTGTCATGTGGTGCTGGGATTTGAACCTGGTCCTCTGTAAGAACAGCCAGTGTTCTTGTCTGCTGAGCCATCTCTCCAGCCCTGAGCCTCGCCATTTTCAAGTGAGCTCTCTACCTTCCTTAGCCAAACCCAGATGACCACTTACCAAGCCATCTGCTCCTCACCAGCTTTCCTCTCTGCCACCCCTATTCTCTGTGTTCTTAATAACCAACACACAAAGAGGTAGGAAAACAAAGGCAGTTAGATGGTGGTCAGGTCCTGACTACAATCTAGTTACCAGGTAACCAAGTCCAGGTGCTGACACTGCACTAACTTGCTTCTCACTCATTATTCACGTTTAAAAGATGATGTTAGATCTCAGGCAAGATTCCCTTAACACCACACCCTCTTCTAGATACTAATCAGTTTATTACGTAAATTATTTCAAACGACTAAAAAAAACCTAATTATTAATTATATCTCAAAGTTCTGTTATGTTTTTAGTATTTCCCTGAAGTGAAAACAAGAACTGATCCCAGAGGAGAGACGGCTCAGCAGTTAAAAGCAGTTTCTGCTCTTCTAGGACCTGGGTTCAGTTCCCAGCACCCACACGGCTGCTAACACCCATCCCTAACTCCAGTTCCAGGGGATCTGATGCTTTCTTCTGGCCTCTGCAAGCACCAGACACTCACATGGTACACTTACATGCACACAGGCAAAACATTCATACACATAAAAATAAATAAAATCTTTTTTAAAAAGAATTGACCACAGAAGCCCCATGAAGGACTAGAAGACTTTGAAGGGGGGAGTGAAAGGATAGAGATAACAGAAAAAGGGGTGAAATGTGGATATAGACAGAAAGCTGAGGCTTCAGGAGGGATGGAGTATAGAATACCAATGTCCAGCTCTGTTTCTAAAAATAAAAGCCTTTTAATCTAATTGGACAAGGATATGTGGGGGTGGAAATTTCATTAATGTTAGCTTCCTTGGAGAATCACATTATTCCTCAAATAAGGAAAACTAATGAGAAGATTACAGGTAAGAGGATGTAACGTGTCCTTTTACAGAATAGAGGGTTTGTCAAAGTCTAACTAGAGTCCATGGAGGAGAGGCCGAAAGCTTGAATTTTCCCATCTGTGAAGTAGATGAAGTGCTGAGAAGAATCAAATGATGCAAGGACACTTAGAAGCACCATTTGTCTACTTCTGTTAAGCACAGCATGGACTGGCGTAACTAGCATAGGATCTGATGTCAGTAAGAAGGTTCAAGTGCAGCCTCTATCTGCCAGCTGCCTGACCTTGCACAAACCTTTGAAACAAATGTAATGATGTAAGAATTACAGGGATGGTACATGTATACATGTGGGGCTGGAACATATTTAAATACAAATAGCTATATAAAATGCTTTATATTATACCAGCTTGCTCTGGTCTGGGTGTTTGTCACCTTTAAAGCTCATGTGGAAACTTAATTCTCCTCTGCCTCACCCAAATCATAGACTAATGGTATTTAAAAATGGGGCCAGTGGGAGGTAATTAGGATTGGATGAGATCATAAGGGTGGGGCCCATGATTGCATGAATGGCTCTACTGGAGGAGGAGAGATCAAGTTAGCAAGTTAGTAAGCTTGCGCTGTCTCTTGATTCAGAATCTCCCATCATGTCATGACCCAGCAGGAAGGCTCTCACCAGATGCCAAGTAGATGCCAGTGTCATGATCTTCAACATCCAGAAGTGCAAGGTAACTTCATCTCTTTTCTTTACACATTTCCCAGTCTGTGGTACTGAGTATTATTAACCAAAAATGAAGCAAGACACAGGTTAAGAAAACTATGGCCTTGTGCTTATTATCGCTTAGGGTTTCTATGTTTTGGAAGGGAATGGGGAATCTGAGGAACTCAAAGAGCAGAAGCACCATTCAGTTAGTAGAAAATCAGCTCTAGGACTGGGAAGATAGCTCAGTCAATTGCTTGTAATGTGAGCATGAAAGTTTGAGTTTGATCCCCAGAAACTACATAAAAAGACAGAAATGGTAACACACATTTGTAACCCCAGTGCTGGGTATGTGGTGCCTGGTGCTTGCTGGCCATCTGGTCTCACACATTTGTAACCCCAGTGCTGGGTATGGACGCCTGGTGCTTGCTGGCCATTTGGTCTCACCTAATTGGTAATCCCCAGGTCCCAGTCCCAAAAACCAAGGTGGATAGCTCCTGAGACATACCATGGTTGACCTATGACCTCCACACATACACACACCAACACACACACACACACACACGAAAGATAAGGAAAATCAACTACTACTTAATGGAGATACAAAACTAAAGTTATGGTCTTCATATAACTACCTCAAAATATGCTAATCAGGTGGGTAATCTCTCCTCTCATAAACATACTGTTCTCTCATGCAAAACAGTTGTCAGGTCTAATTACAAGTGTATTAGTAGTGATAGAAGTTTTCTATGAGTCTGAACTCATCAACCTGTAGTCCAGATCACAAATAATAATGAAATATTTCCATGGGAATATGACAGGGAAAAGCCACCTCCAGTATCATTAATTCAGTCATTCATTTACAAAGTCCTTATTTTATATCAGGTTCTATCAGGCTTGCTGCCAAGCCTGATGACCCGAGTTCAATCCCCAGAACCCACACGATGGAAGGAGAGCACTAACTTCCAAAAGTTGTCCTTTGACCTCTACATGCACACCATGCCTATACACATACAGACAATAAATAAGTAAATAAATAAATAAAAAATTTTAATTGACAGTAGGTTGGTGGTGATTAATTGCACCAGAAAAGAAAAAAAAGCAGGCAGGGAAAGAGGCTCCAGTTTTAAACAGAGCAGTCAAAGGTGGCTTCACGGAGAAGATGCCATTTAAGGAAAGACCTAAAAGAGCCAAGAGAGAAGGCACAGAGCCGTGGGGAAGATGGGGGGGCACATAAACTTCTGTAGCAAGTTCAGCTAATAAGAAGTACAACCCTTACCTTTTAAAAGGGGCTGGAAGGTTGGGATCTCTTGCAACTTGATGACATCAGGATCACTGCTGACATTCCGGGAGGCCTGAGAGCCCTGGGCTACAACCACTATATCATCCATCTTGGCACGATGTTTGGCTGGAGAAGGAGTCACTGAAAATAGAGTTCCATGGCTCAGGAACTGCATATTAGACAGCCAGCCCTGCCTCACCAAAGTGGTTTTCAGCACAGTCAGTAAAAAGAATATTTTTATAGTAAATGGGAGTTTATGGTCTTAACATATGTGCTTCTCTTAAAGCCTTATTAGAAATGATAAATTACTTCTTCCCAGAGTATTACTTGGTACTTGTCTGCCTTGAAATGTTGAAGTGGAATAAAGTTTCTTTTTAAAACTTTTTTTCAGAGCCGGGGCATGGTGGTACATACCTTTAATCCCAGCACGTGGGAGGCAGAGGCAGGAGGATCTCTGTGAGATCAAGTCCAGCCTGGTATACAGAGCGAGTTCCAGGTAGTTGGGGTTACAGGGAGACCTTGTCTCAAAAAAACCAAAACAATCCAAAACCTTTTTTGTCCACTTTTACACTGGATATGTACTCAGTTGGTAGTACGATTCCCAGCATCACATAAACTAGATGTGGAGGTCCACACCTATGATCCCCATAATCAGGAGGTAGAGGCAGGAGAATCAGAAATTCAAGTACAGCCTTGGAAACATAGGCCAGCCTAGGCTATGCGAGACTCTGCTTTAAAGGAAAAGAAAAAGAATACTTTCACATAACAAAATGTGATTTTTGTAGTGGGGGCAGAGTTAAATTATGAGAGACTTTTGGTTTCCTTCCTTTTTTGTGTGTGTGTGTGTGTGTGTGTGTGTGTGTGTGTGTTGCTAGAGATCGAACCTAAGGCCTCTCACATAACAGCTCTATCACTGAGTCCAAGCCCAGGATTTGTATTTCTATGGTATAAAAAAAAAAAAGTCAGCTGGGTGTGGTGGCACATGCGTTTATTTCCAGTAATCAGGAGGCAGAGGCAGGTGGATATCTGTGAGACTGAGGACAGCCTGGTCTCTACAGTGAATTACATCTGGGACTACAGCAAGACCTTGTCTCAAAAAGATCAAAAAAGCAAGACAAGAGATGGCTCTGTGGTTAAGAGCATATGCTGCTCTTGCAGAAGACCTGATTTGGTTCCCAGCACCTACATTCAGAAGCTTACAACCACCTCTAATTTCAGCTTCAGGGGGATCTGACACTACTGGCTTCAATGGGGAGTAAGAAAAGAAGAAAGAAGGAGGGGGGAGAGAAGGAGAGAGGGAGGAAAGAATGCAGAGAAGGAGGGAGGGATGGGAGGAATGGAAGGGAAAGGAAAAAGAAAGAAAGAAAGAAAGAAAGAAAGGAAGGAAGAAGGAAGGAAGGAAGGAAGGAAAAAAAGGTCAAACAGTATAAAAACATATAACATGAACTTCTTTTACAATGAAGCATTTTATTATTCAACACACAAAAGCATAAGCAGATTTTTTAAATGTCTCTTTTGATTCCTCTGATCACCAAATATATGTCCCTATTTTATAAATGAGGGAACAAAATTGACTGTGACTTGCCCAAGGTCAAGAGTGCTAGAAACAGTTAGGAAAGGCACTGAAGGTCTATGAGTCATCGGTGCATGAGGATCCTTTCTGTGGCACAGATTGCAAAGCTGTCTAACCTACCAAAGTGAGCCAGATGCATTTAATAGATCCCAGTCATGACCAAAACCTCTGGTTTCAACTCCCAAATCATGAGCTTAGTCCTAAGGCTCCAGGAAGTTGCTGCATTAGTCCAAGAAGGGCAGAAAGAATCAATAGGTCCCTTCTAGGCTGAGGCAAAATTCAGAAATTTGGGAGACTGTTTCCGAGGTGTGTCAATTTCAGGTTCCTTGGGAGGGAAAAAGTTCAAACCTTAAAGACATCCTCCTACCCCAATACTTTCCTGGTTCAGGCAAGAATGAATCTCAGGCCCATCTGAAGCTGCCACAGAACTGCTCTTGCCTTCTGCAAACTAGCTGCTCCCGAGGCCCTGACATTAGCCTTTTCAGAAAAGAAAAAAATTCTCTGCCGTTTTTATTGCTCTTCAGGAAAAGTTTCTTATCCTGACTTGATAATTTATCTAACATTTTACAAAAGCAAATCCAAAAAGTCTTTCCTGTTACAAATTAAATGATTCTGCCTTCCCCTAAACTCCAAAAGAAAAGGGACTCAAAGTATTCTAGTCAGCCTCTATTACTTTAGACACAAAATGAGGATACTATAAATACTACCTATAAACGTATGTACCGCACTTGGCCTAGGGGAACAGGAAAATTCTAATATCAGAAATCAGCCTATGCTGTTGGCTCCTGGATAAGCAGCCATGCCACACCCCTTCCCCTAAAAGATGCTTCTGTACTGACATGGGGCAAGAAAGCAAGAGATCACCATCATTACTGTTTGTTATAAACAGATACAACACTCTGGGCCTTCCAAAGGAACCGAACACAGCAAAGCTGGTCCATGCTAGACCCCAGTTTGCAGGTCTTGAACATCCTTTCAAGTTAACACGTTAGCGTCCACATTTCTGAACAGCAAATGCTACCAAGTAGACAGCCAGTTTTAAGACCGGGTGGTTCTTTCTGGCTGGAGATTTCAGCTAATTAGGACTAGCAACCACAGCTTTTCTGCAAGTGGGTAGCAAAAGGAGAGCAAATGGATCTCCATCCATCACCGCTGTTTTATTGAAAGCTCATTACAGCCCTAGCACAATAACCCACCCCAATCCCACCTCAAGCGCTTTGAGAAACAACAACAACAACAACAACAACAACAAAAAAGTATGGAGAACAGAAGATACACCGCAGCCTGCCATCTGGCCAACCTCTATATTAGAAAAGGGGGCCTGACACCTTGAGAGGAACCAGCAGTTTGCGGCAACATTCGCACGCACTGAAAGTGACAGTGAAGCCATCACTGTCTTTTCTGAAAAGGAACCTCGAAATCCTGGGTTTTGGTTCCCCCTCCCCCCGCCCAGAAAGCCTGTTTTTGAGGTCCTAGTGTGGTCCATTCGGTGTGAGCTACATCTCAGCACCTCAGTGGGATCCTAGAGCCCAACAGGATGGAGGTGGTCTTTGAACGATCAACGTGCAGCTGGGAGACAGGCTGTTTGGAGACACATCACCGGCGTGTGCGCCCACGCAGCTTAGGGACCAGGGCTGGGGCAGGTGGCCACCGCGTTCTCTGCTTTAAAGCTCGGTGTGGGCTGTCCACGCGGGCCGCCGTCCCGGACCCCCCAGGCGCCGGCGGGAGGTAAGGCACCGACCTGAGGCGTTCAGATCGCTGGGGCGGCTCTCGGCCTCCGCGCTCTGCTCGCTGCCCATGGCCGGCGCTCAGGCTCGGGGACCGAGAGGTGGGGGCCACGCGTGGGCCCGGGGGGAGGCCTCCCGGCACAGACAAGCGGGGAGGCGCGGCGTGGATGCTCGCGACTCGCTTTCCCTACAGGAGGCGGGAGACACCAGCGGGGCTAAGTCTGCGGCCAGCGGGCGGCGCCGCTGCCATTCACAGGCTCTGCCGCCGCGGCTCTCTCCTTCCGGGACGCCGATTGGCCGCGCTTGACGACACGCGACCGTCAGTTCCGGGTTAGGAGGCCACGCTCCCAGTCCAGAGGCGGAGCTAGGAATCTAGAGGCGAGACCGTCTTAAAGGGCCCGACCCCCTCGAGGCTAAAAGTGCCTGGTAAACCCTTTCCTAGCGGGATGACGCGTCACCTTTAAGGACCGGTCATTAAACAGAAATCCTGATACATTAGAGCTACTTAACAAAATAGGCTGGGATTTTGTTTTTTTCTGGTTTGGGAGATGGGGTCTCACGGATGACCTCAAACTCACGGGCGGTCCTACTGTCTCAACCTCCCAAAGGCGGGGATTACAGACGTGAACCCACCACGCCCCGCAAAATAGGTATTTTTATCCCTGTTTCATGGATGGAAAAAGAAAGGTGTTCTGTAGACCTGCGATTTCAATCCTCATCTGTACAGGTGCAAAGCTCTTTTCTAAATTCTGAAAGCTGAGAGCTTAGCGGCAAGCGACCATACAAAAAAATGACAAGATTTTGTTTAAAAAAAAAACAAAAAAAAAAAAAAAAAAAAGAGAGAGAGAGAGATGAAAATGAGAGGAAAAATTAAGAAATAGGTTATACTTATTCACATAATTAGGGACATGCGTCTTGAAAGGGAAGTGAGTGACCCTACAATCTAAACACTTTCTGGGGACCTTCAGAGTTACTGACAAGTCACTATGGAACTACCAAAAGGCCAAGAAGATAGAAATAATACAAAAAAGGAAATTCCTTGTTTGAGTAGGTCATGAATACACTCCTAGCAATCCAACACCTGCCCAGGGTTCTCTGAACTTTGCAATGTATTGTATACCATTTGCTTCAAAAAATTACAAGCAGCCATGCTTGGAGGTGGCTGCCTATAATCCCAAGATTCAGGGGATCAGGAGTTCAAAACTGACCTTAGTTTTTTGACCTTCCAAGCCAGTCTGGGCTATATGAGACTCTGTACAAAAAAAGGGGGGAGGGTCTGGAAAGATGGGTCAGCATTTAAGGGCACTTGCAGAGGATCTGGGTTCGATACCCACATGGCCTGGTGGCTAACAACCATCCATAACTCCAGTTCTAGGGGAATCTGATCCCTTTTTCTGATGTACGTGGTCATTGCAGGACACGGGTGCACTTACATATATGCAGGCAGTACACTCATACACATAAAATAAAAGTAGTAAAGAAAAAAATTTTAATTACAAGCAACTGTCCCAAGATTTTATATGTATAAATATATTATACATGAGACCAAATAGACAGATTTTCAAGTTTTACCTCATTTAGTTTTCACAATAAGCCTCAGGCCAATAAATATGTAATTTCTTCCAAAGTTACCAGGTGGTAAGAAGTGAAACTATTTTGTACGTGATTTCAAACCTAAAGCTTGCTTCAATTCCCTATTATGGTGCAGATTTAAGTTTAGTGTTTTGTGAGAATATGAAGATAAAAAATCTTCTTAGAGATCAGCATAGGCTCCTAGAACATGTGTTTTTGTTTTGTTTTGTTTTGAAGACAGGGTCCCCTGTAGCCCCAGCTCACCTGGAACTCACTGTGTAGACCAGGCTGGCCTCAAAGGCATGCTCCACCAATGCTCAGATAGAACATGTTTTTGTTGTTCTTTATTGGTTGGTTGGTTTACTGTGGTTTATTTGTTTTTTAATCTTATTTATTATTTTTATTTATTTTATCTTTTGGAGAGAGGGTCTCCCTGTAGCTCCAGCTGACCTGGAACTCACTATGTAGACCAGGCTGGCCTCCTGAGTGCTGGGATTAAAAACGTACACCACTATACTCGGCTTTATTTTCATTTTTTTATGTGTATGAGTGTATTGCCTACATGTGTGGAAGTAGACCTGTGTCATGCAATGCCCACGGGGGTCAGAAGAGGGCGTCAGATTCCCCTGGAACTGGAGTTACAGGCAGTTGTTAGCTGCCATGTGGGTACTGGGAATCAAACCCAGGTCCTCTTCAAGAGCAGCCAGTACTGAGCCATGTCTCCAGCCCCTGGTTTGGTTTTTTTGAGGCAGGATTCCCTCTGTAGCTCTTACTGGTCTAGTATTCAATATAAGCCTAGATCAGGCAATCTTCCTCCGTCAGCCTCCTGAGTGCTGGGATTATAGGTATGTATCACCACACCCAGCTCTAAAAGGTGAGGTTTAACTGCCTATATTCTTGATGTTTGCATAAACCACCAGATTTTTGTGACTGCGAAGGGTCTGCTAACTAATGAGACCATTTTGAGAGAAGCCTTGGCTCCCTTCCAGTGTGGCTTCTTGGTGATGCCTGAAGAGGGTTACTTAAAGGTAGCCAGTAGGTGGAGAATACCTCATTCTGGCTCTTACATTCCTTCTTAAATCAATGTGTATTTGTCTTATATCCTGCACTCTAATCCATACTGACATGATGTTATTTTTTTATGGCTCCCTTTGAACGAATGGATCAAGATTTCACTCTAAAAGGGATCAACTAATAAGCAGATAAATAAAATGTAGTCTGTCTTTATAAAGGAATATCATTTGGCCATAAAGGGAGAAATAAGCTGCTAATAAATACTACACCATGGTTAAAACTTGAAAAGAGGATGCTGATGGAAAAAGACCACATACTGTAGATTCCATTCATATAAAATGTCCAGAGGAGGTACTCCAGAGAAAAGTCCATTGATGGTTTCCTAAAGCTGAGAAATAGGTAGAGAGGAGATGAGGTCTGGGGGTTTATTTCCTGAGGTGATGAGGTCTGGGGGTTTCTTTCCTGAGGTGATGAAAATGTTCTAGTATTGATTGTGACAGTGACACATTACTGGATTTTTTAAAAACCACTAGAAGGCTGGGGAGGTGGCTCAGCAGTTAAGAGCACTGACTGCTCTTGCAGAAGACCTGGGTTCAAATCCTAGCATCCACATGGTGGCTAACAACCATCCATAATTCCAATTGCAGGGAATCTGACCCCCTCTTCTGGCCTCCATGGACATTGCATGACACAACTGCACTTACATGCATGCAGGCATAACACTCAAACACATAAAATAAAAATAAATAATTAAACTAAAAACACAACCTAGGTATGGTGATGTACACCTGTAGCTCCAGAAGAATTAATCATTCAGGGACAGGGGTTGGAGAAATGGCTCAGCGGTTAAGAGCCCTGGCTGCTTTTCCAGAGGACCTGGGTTCAGTTCCCAGCACCCACATAGTGACTAAGAACCATCTATAACTCCAGTTCTGGGGTTTCTGATGCCCTCTTCTGGTCTCGACGGGTTTGCACACATGTGGTGCACTTTCATGTAGGCAAAACATTCCTACACAGAAAAATTAATAAATACTTTTCTAAAAATGAATTCAGGGTCAACCTCAACTATGTACCACGTTCAAGGCTAGCCTAGGTTACATGAGAACCTGCCTCAAAAAAAAAAAAAAAGGAATGAAGGGCTGGAGAGGTGGCTCAGCAGTTAAGAACACTTGCTGTTCTTCCAAAGGACCAGGTTCAGTTCCCAGCACCCACATGGTGGCTAACAACGGTCCAGCCAGTTCCAAGGGATCCAACACCATCTTCTGACCCCAATGGGCATTGCACACACATGGTGCACTTACATACATGCAGGCAAAACACTCATAAAATACAAATAATAAATATTTTTAAATGAATAAAAGAAAGACTACTGAAATATACACTTTATTATTTTTAATTATGTGTATGGGAGGATATGTGCATGTATGCATGGGTGCCCTTAGTGGTCAGAGGTTGGATCCCCCTGAAGCTGGAGTTGTATGCAGTTGTGAGTCACCCAACATGGGTGCCAGGAACTGAATTTAGGTCTTCTGCAAGAGCAGTATGCTCTCTTAACTGCTAGAACATCTCTCCTCCCCAAAATATTCACTTTAAATGAGTGGATTTAATTTAATTTAATAAGGAATTAAATTTAATGTGATGTGGCTTCATAAAGCTATATTCAGAGAAAGGGTGCCTGAAGATAAAATGACTTCATTTGCTGACTCAGCATCTACTAGGTGCCTATAATGTGCTGGGCACTTCTTAGAGGTGACATAAAGATTCCAACCCAACTAGCCCCTAGCCTTAGAAAGCCTACAGTGCTGTGGCAAGAATATGAAATGAGTGTTTTATATATTGTAAGGGTTTTATTGGAGGAAGAGGACCTTTGGAAACAGGAGGCATTTGGAATAGATGCCTCTTAACATCACTTACACATGAGTAGCAATCTGTGTTATATATGTGAACAGCCTTTGCAAGTTTATGCAACTTTCATGTATGTTAACTGCCTATAAAGTAAAAGTAAAATCCAGTAATTTTTTCTTTTTTCTTTTGAGACAGGGTCTTGATTTGTAGCCCAGGCTGGCCTCAAACTCTTTATGTAGTCCAGGCTCACCTCAAACTCACAGCAACCCTCTGCCTCAGCCTACCAAGTACTAAGGTTACAGGGGTGTGCCATTTTTCCTATCTTGGAAATCACTTTAATTTTACCATGAAGTTTATTCTTGGTCACACACTAAGAAATGATAAGCCCAAGACTAAAGTTTTCTCACTTTCTTGGTGCCTACATGCCCAGCCTGGCTCCTTCCAGAAATGTCTTGATATTTACTACCCAGCACTAGAACTCATGCAGTATCTCATCCAGAAATCTACCGGGCCTCACCAATGCCTCCAACCAGTCGCTAAATCCTAAAGAGCTCGCCTACTTAATTCCTCTTTTACTTCCATGCCCAGTTCAGGGTCTCATGTCTTTTTCCATTTCTTGGAAATCAGAAGGCCTCTGACCTCATCTCCTTCAATCCATTCTTCAAGTAGCAAGCAGAGAGAATTTTCCAGGATACTCATATTTTCTGACTAGTATTCTCTGTTACTCTGTATACACAGGCAACTTTCCTGCCAGGTGGACTGAGTTCCCTGAGTGGTTAGGTTTCCTCTCTCTGGATTGGTTAGCTTGGTTCTAATCTGACCAGCTGATCTTCAACACTTCAGATCTGTTTATATTCCAGGAAAGCTGTTGCCTGAGATCCCTTGATTATCATGGTATCTATTCTTCCAGAATAATCGATTTACCTGTCTCACTCACTGAATTATAAACATCTTGAAGTCAGAGCCCCATATCGTATTGCTCTTCAGTTTCCTCTGCAGGTACTTAATAGAATACTAATAAAATACTCTTTTAAAAAAAAATGCCTCCATGTTAGTGTCTCCTAACTCAGGAGATCAAAAAAAAATCTCTCCAGGTGCTAGACCCAGCGATATACACTTGTCATCTCAGCACTCAGAGGGCTAAGTTCACTCAGATCTTGAGTTCAGGGCTAGCCTGGGCGTCATAACAAGACCCTGTTTCAAAAGCATACCAAAAATCTCATCATGCAGCTGAGGTAGCAATGGACTTGATTTCAAATTTAAATAGCTAGCTGTTTCATATCAACATAGAGTTGTGAAGTTTTTATTATTTTTTTGTATTATGCTGTGGATTGAAAGTAGGGCCTTGCATACTAGGCAAGTACTCTACCACTGAGTTATAATCCCAGTCCTTAAAATAATAGGGGCTGAAGAGATGGCTCAGCAATTAAGAGCATGTGCTGGTCTTGCAGAGGACCTGGGTTTGGTTCCCAGCACCCACATAGTGTCTAATCACCTGTAATTCCATTTCCATGGGATCCGACAGCCTTTTCTGGCCCCTGATGTCACCAAGAACACACAAGATACACAAACAGATATGTAAGCAAGCATTCATAGATATAAAATAAAAAATAAATCTTTAAAAACAATTTTAAAGATTTGATTCCATGTGTATATGTGAGCATGTTTGAGTGTAGATACCCGTAGAATGCAGAGAGAGTGTCAGATCTCATGGAGCCGAAGTTATAAGGCTGTTATGAGCTGTCCAACAGGAGTGTTGGGAACGGAACTCAGGCTCTTAACCACTGAGCCATCTCTCCAGCCTTAAAAAAAATTTTTTTTTCTTGAGACAGGGTCTCACTAAGTTGCCCAGGCCAGTTTTGAACTTACTCTGTAGCCCAGGCTGGCACTAAACTTGTGATCCTCCTATCTCAGTCTCTACCTGGGCTGTGCCACTAGGCCCAGCTTCAGGAAGTTTTCTTTAATCATCATTTTCATTGACCATTGTTCAGTGTTGTAACTGAAGACATATAACAGGTTCATTGTATCAAAACACTGAACCTGAAATGTGTTGTTTGAAACAGAATCTCATGTAGTTCAGGCTATACAACTAACGATGACCTGATCCTCCTGCTTTCACCTCTCAATTTCAGGATTATAGGCAGGTGCTATGCTGCTGGGCAATCTGAAACTTCTAATGCTGGAAAGTCTGCTCAGTGCCTGTCGCGGGCTGACCCCCCCCCCCCACTATACCATCTACACATCATTGAAGATATTGCTCATTATACACATCAGGAAAATTAATCCACAGTGGAATCTACTTTTTCTTGGCAACTCTTTGGTACCAAGCTATGGCAACATTACTGTAATTGGAGAGTAGGTCACCCTTTGAATACCACTAGTAGAGTTGGTTACACACAATGGCCCATTGTTCTCAAGTTTTCTCTGGCAAAATATACCTTCTGCAACTATTGGTTAAAACTAGGGTGTTGGCTGGAGAGGTCTAGAATAATCCTCTACAATTGCAGTTCAAAAACTCACACCAGCCAAAGTGAAGATGTTGCCAAAGGTTTGGCCATTTGACCAATTTTATTTTAGAGGGTTTCATTTGTCTGAGGGTATATACAAGAAAGGGTAACTTAGAGATACTTTTACAACTATTTGACTTTGCTTTCTGTTACTGTGATAAACATGGACCAAAAGCAACTTGGGAAGGAAAGGGTTTATGACTTCTCAAAGCTCACAGTCCATGATGGAGGGAAGTCATGGCTGGAACTCATGGCTGGAGCTTGAAGCAGGAACTGAAGCAAAGACTATGGAGGAATGCTGCTTACTGGCTTCTTCCCCCTGGCTTGTTCATCTACCTTCCTCATCCCCGCCAACCCCCAGCTAGCTTTCTTATATAGCCCAGGCCTACCTGCCTGCCCAAAGTGGGTTGGGCACTCCTACATCAATTAACACTCAGGAAAATGCCCCCACATACATGACCACAGGCCAATCTGATGGAGGTAATTCCTCAGTTGAGGTTCCCTCTTCCCAAGTAACCCTAAAGTATGTCAAGTTGACAAAAATCAAACAAAAACAGCACAACAACCTATATCCACTTCCATTCATTTAACAACAAATATATTTTAGTCAAATACTTTTGAGCACCTATTACATACAAGGTGCTAAGTGTTTAGAGATGCAGTTTTAACAATAACAAACATCATTTGTTTATCATTATTATCTGTATCAACAAACAAATCCTAACTGGACTTGCACTCTTGTAATCCCTGCACTTGAGAGAGAGAGACAGGAGGATCCGGATTTCAAGGTCATCCTTCTTATATAGTGAGTTTGAGCCAAGACTGGTAAGACTCTGTCTCAAAAACAAAACAAAAACAAAAACAACCAACCAAAAAAGCCAGGTGTGTCCAAGTCGGGAGGCAGAGGCAGATGGATTTTTGAGAGCTTGGAGACCAGCCGGGTCTTCATAAGTAGTTCCAGGCCAGCTGTGGCTACAGGAAAAGCCTGTCTCAAAACAACAACAATAACAACAAAGCTAGTAATCAACTAACCAACACCAATAGTAAAACCTAGTTAATCCCGAAGAAAGCGAACTGCCTTCCCCCATGCTTGCCCCGCACATATTTAGCTGGAGAATTGGCAGCTGTGATTGAGACCCTTCTTTCTCCAATTATGGAAGCAGGATTCTCCTAACAACGCTCCAGATAGGATGCGCTGTAAGCTTTGACTAAGAAGGTGAGTTTGAGCACTCCCGTAATCCCTGCACTTGGGAGGGGTGTGGTGTAATGTGGTGGCACCCCTGTAATCCCTGCACTTGGGAGACAGAAGCAGGAGGATCAGTTCACGGTCATCCTTGCCTACGGTGAGAGTTCAAAGCCAGCCTGGGCTTCATGAGATGATCTTAAAAAGCAGCAGGAAATGTGCACGGTGGTCGCTTCTGCAGCCAGGGACAAAAAGACTGGGGCACACGGGTGTGGAGCGTGAGTACCTTTCATCAGCACCTGTGCACTTGCTCTGCCCGGCCTCGGCGGCGCGCAGAGGCACAGCTGCAGACCCTTGGGGACCTGGAGGGTCTGGGCCTCGCCCCCGGGGGCCCGCAGTGTTGGCTGTTGGGAGGCGGCGTGGGGAGCTGGGGCCCTGGAGCCTGGGCTCTCGCGGGCTCCGAGTCCTCAGCGCGCCACTAGACTGGATGTTGCCGGGAAGCAGCTCCGGGTTGCAGGGCAGGGACGCGCCCTTCCCCCCTGCAAACTTTCCGTCTCTGCGACGGAAGCAGGAACTTGCAAAGGACAAAACCTGCGGGGCCCGTGCGGGAGCTGCGGAACATCCTCCAGGTCCTCGAGGGCTTCGTGAGTCCTTCCCGTGAGCGACTGAGCGGCCACTGCACCGAAGCGCATCCGCATCCGGGACCTCAGGGATCTGTCTTTACCCGCAGGTAAAGGTGTCTCCCCTCCCCTGGCAGCAGAGCAGCTGCTCCCCTGCTTTCCCCGGCCCTGGCTCCTGCACCCTCCCGGCAACCCTGAAGGACCAGGCTAGGGCAAAAGGGATCTGACCAGGATCTGCCGGTGCTGCAGTATCCCAAAGCTGATCCCTGGCAAGCTCAGAAGCACCGACTCTAAATGGCACCCGCTCCAAGTTGCAGGCAGAGGAGGGGTAGAACCTTCCAGGGAGCAGCATACCTTCAAAGGAAGGGAAAAGGTCTCCTATGGTTTGTTTCATTTTCTTTACTAAACCTGCTGTGTAATACGCTCTAAAGTGTGTGTGAGT